GTAGTAGTAGTAGTAATAGTAGTAGTAGTGGTGGTGGTAGTAGAGGTGGTGGTAGTAGTAGTAGTAGTAGTAATAGTAGTAGGAGTAGTGGTGGTGGTAGTAGAGGTGGTAGTAATAGTAGTAATAGTAGTAGTAGTAGTAATAGTAGTAGGAGTAGTAGTAGAGGAGTAGGAGAAGTAACAATTATAGCTAGCATTTCTAGAGCACCTATATGCCAGGCACCATGCTAAGCACTTCACAAGTATCTCATTTAATACTCACCTGAAGGTCAGGCTCTCCTCAGCATTACTCTGGACTCTCACTCTCTCTCATTCCACATATCCAGTCAGTTGCCAAGCTCTGCCACTTCTAACTTCACAATCTCTCTTGTACCTGACCCCTCCTCTCTACTCACGCACCAACCATCTTAGTTCCAGCCCTCATCACTTACCTAGATTATTGCAACAGCCTCCTCACTGGTCTCCCTGACTCAAGTCTCTCCCCACTTCAGTCTATCCTCCACATTTCTACCAGAATTATTTGACTTAAGTGAAGACAATCCTACTCAATAAACTAGAGGAAGCAATAATGCAGGAGTTAGAGAGCTGAGCCCTGGAGTCAGGAAGATCTGAGTTCAAGTCCAGCCACACACATGCTTCCTAGCTGCATGACCTTGGACAGGTCAATTAACCTCTGTTTGCCTCAGTTTTCTTATCAGTAAAATAGGGATAATAATGGCAACTTCCAGGGTCGTTGAGAATTAAATGAGATAATATCTGTAAAGTGCTTAGCACAGTGCCTGCCACATAATAAGTGCTATATAAATGACAGCTATAACAATGATGATGATGATGATATTACTAGCTGTGTGGCCTAGGATAAGTCACTTAACCTTTGTTTGCCTCAGTTTCCTCAACTGTAAAATATGGATAATGAAAGCACCTACATCCCAAGGTTGTCATGAGAATCAAATGGGAGATCTGTAAAGCACTTAGCATGATGCCTGGCACATAGTAGCCACTATATAAATTCTATTATATTATCACTATTTTCATTAATTATTCACTCCAGTGGCCTATTATCATTAATTATTCACTCCAGTGGCCTTCCTATTGCCTCTAGAATCAAGTATAATATTGTCTGTTTTAGCTTCTAGAATCCTGTGCAATCTGACCCCAACCCACCTCTCCAGTCTCTTTGGACATTCCTTGTCTCCTGCACTTGGATGTGGCCACAGTGGCCTTCTCTCAGTTTCTCACACAGGACACTCTATCTGCCCTCTCTTCGCCTTTGTACAGGGGACTCTGGGCTCCATGCCTGGAAGGTGTTCCCTCCTTATCTTGGCCCCATAGGATCCTCTCTTCCCTCAAGTCGGACCTCAAGCTCACGCGTGAAGCCTTTGCTGACCCCTTCACCTACTAGCATCCTTCCTCCCAAACTACCCTGAATTGAAGTATTTTGTTATTATTTGCACATATTCTCTTTATATTTATCCTGAATATGTATTCAGATAGTTATATATCTATGTGTATGTATATATACTACATACATACATGTATATATGTATACTACATACACGTACACATCTGTAATGCACATTACATGTATGTGTGCATAAATTCTGTATTTGTGTGTATACAAACATATCTTCTTGTTGACATCCCTATTAAAACATAAGCTCCTTGGGAGTAGGGACTCTTTAATTTTGTGCCTAACACAGTGCCTGCCATACTTAATAAACACTTGTTGATTGACTGAAAAACATCCTTGAGATAATTCTAGGCTGATGGTTTGAGTCAAGCAGTGTAGAGATACAGGAAACTAATAAAACTCAGGGAATTCCACAGCAGCCCAGCCTCCATGGGAAAGCTCACGCAGCTTGGCTTCCAGTGGCCCCCTTAAGGGGATGCCTTATTCCCTGCCTAAGCAGAATAAGCCACAGCCCTACACAGTTCCTTAAAGACAGGATTGTCTTTTATCTTTCTTTGTGACCCCAGCACTTTGCACAGTGCCAGGCACATAGTGGGTGCTTAATAAATGTTTACTGATTGCCTGACTCAT